CGCAACTTCCGGTTCAAGGGTCAAACGGCGCCGTCGTCCAATCACATTAGTTTTCTTATCAGAACTCTGGCTGCAGCATTTTTGGATCAGCTGAAGGCTTATAATTACCATTTAAGGACTTCCTGATAGTAAAGAATGACAAGAGTCCAACCTCAAAGTAACAGAGACATCAGTTACAACAGTCACTCTACAAACTCTGTCTCAAGAAGTTCTATTTTTTAGGAAATTTCTCATGTGAAACTTTAGTTTTTTTTTTTCTAAATTCTTTTCAAAGTTTTCTTCTTTTACTTCCTCCCTCATTTAGAGCTTTTTAAATTATACTTACTTGAATTCAAATGCCAAAAAATCTGGTTTTCTTGAAGTCTCTTAAATATGAACCAATTCTGTGTATCCACAAGGGGGCGCCATAGGAAAGGTTTCCCACCAGAGTAAAGCTGCCTTGGCATTTTAAATGCAAGAATTAGTCCTTGTAGTAATTAGGACTTTTGTTGATAGCACCTTCACCTTCAGTTATTTGATGGTTCTTGGAAAGTTCAAGAAGACCCAAAATAACTGTAGCTGTTCATCCTTCTGGGAGAACACATCTCTGCATCACACTTGCTATAATCTATGGTAAAACTCTCACCGAGAAGCTATTGTAAAGCTATGTTTGGCCTGGATTCACTGCAGGATGAAACCTGAAGTATTTCTCCAATGTGGGTGGTCCTCTGGGTGATAAGTTCATTTAAGGCAAACAGCTCCATAATATTCACATCTCACTATTGATGATGATCAAATGAATTAAAGAGATCTGTGACAAAAAATCAAAAATAAAAACCCAGATGGGTTGCAGATAAATGAAAAAGAAACATACTTCAGTGTCCCTCATTGACCACATGACCCCGGTCCCTGTATGAATCTCCTATCGACGTGACTCCTCTGACCGCGAGGTGAATTCTGACATTCCTTCATGTAGCCTTCACTGGGAAGGACAAAACATGATTAGGCAGCCTTGAGTGATTCACACAGCAGGTCCCAGCCTGCCAAATAACAGCCAACCAGTCACTCGGTCAATTAAAGTAGGCATTGTAGTTTGTGAAAACCCAATACACACATGCCCCACACACACACACACACTTATAATCAGATTTTGTTACAAACTGTTAGCTCTCTAGATGTTCATGTTGCTGTCATGTTGAAAGTGTTTAATGAATGCAAGCAGATAACATGGTAAGGTCAGTCATAGGAAAGCAAAGAATTATTAAAATAAACAATATTCCATTATGGGGAAATTAGAGACATTTTCTTGAGAATTATCTTACTATTGTTCTCCTAAACTTTAGTAATGACTAGTATCTGTGATCATGCTGAAGTGCAGGGAAAAGCTCTACCCGAAGAGAAGATTTACTTTAAGATAGTAACATCTTTTAATTTTCATATGTTCTTTTTTAAACTTGATTTTTGAAGTAGATCTACAACCCTTGAAGAAGGCTTTTGTTAAGCAAGGCAAGTTTATTTTACAGCAATTTAGTACAATTTAGGACAATTCAAAGTGCTTTACAAGAATGGAATAATAAAATAAAAGAAGCATTATAAAAGTAAATAAAGATAAAAAAGTTAAAAGCCAGTAGAAAAACAAACTCAGTTAGTAGTTTAACTTCAAAAAGTCAAAGGCAGCTCTAATCAAATGGGTTTTTAACTTTAACTTCAAATAATTCAGCTCTTTTCCTGTCTTCTGGGAGTTTGTTCCAGATCATTGGATCATAGGAACTAAATGCTGCTCCTCAATGTTTGGTTTTCCGAGGCCGACTGGGGTTCAAGGAGACAGAAGCAGAGATAAAAAAGGCAACTGTAAAAGGCGGCCCGTCCAGGAAACACACAGCCAGGCAGACGAGCTACGGCCAGCTCCCATGACAGAGGATGAAGAGAGCACATCCAGCCAGTCACAGTTAGAGAAACAGGACTACACTGAAAAACAGGCCAATCTCAAACAGCTATAAACAAGGGTGATAAAAAAGGTGTTGATGGCAGCAGCACAGCTGATATTTCTCTCCAACATGGTGTCAGAGCCAAACAAGAACAGACGAGGTGAAGCTACAACGAAAAAAAGCAATGAGAGCTTAAAGTTAGACATTGAACTAATACTGCAAAATGGGGGAATAGAGATAGAATGAAACAGAATGATGAAAAAAGGGTCCCTATGTCCTCCAGCAGTCTAAGCCTATAGCAGCATAACTATAGAGATA